CCTCCGAGCCACCCAACCACCCTCACTCATGCACTGTTTGAAGACCACGCCTTTCATTGTACTCTAATGGACCTGATTCGTTAATGAGCATGCTTGGTCGTTGCAAATACATTCCATTCAGGATTGGGGTGAGTCAACATGATGGTGTTATATACACTCGCACACAATACACACCGAATTATAGATTTAAAAAAAAATTACATTAAGGATGCAGGTAATTTTCCAGGATGGTTTTACATATTTAATCATTCGCAAATAATATAAGTGTGTTATCCATTTGAAGACTATAGTATGGACTGGTGGCTTTGGCACTTGCCAATGCCTTTAGAGATTGCTATCCCACCTCATGAATAATACATCTGTAGTAATAACCAGGGTGGCCTGCTGGAATCGAACCATGAACCTCTGCCACAAGTGGCGACTGCTCGACTGCTGGGCCATGTCGCAGTACCCTGGTACACTTCACAGTGCCGTTGTGCTCCATTCATCATAAAAAATAAGCAACATCAAATGCAACATTCGCAGTAAAGATTACAGATCTGAATCATTAAATTAACGCCACTGGTCCAGTTCACGAAAATGTAAATTTTTAATATAACCAAAACAGTAAACGTACTTCATTGTATACCCATTAGGGTAAGAGGTCCCTGTGCTTAGATTTGAGTACAGTACTTTATTGGCTATAATGTCATGAGACAGTTGATTGGCGTCGAGATGAATGAATAAATGCATTGTATTTTCTTTGGTTCTTTCGGTAAAGTCACGTAGAATGAGAATAAAATAATAAATTGATAAAATAAAATAACACAATAAAATTCTCACGACGTTTCGGCCACAACACAAGCAGCCTTCATCAGGTGAAGGGACGAGACTGTCTGGAGGACAGCGCTGAGCTTATGTAGCTGTTTTCCAGAAGTGACCTGGCCACATATGATAGCTCAACGAAGTGGCTAATCACGTGGAATTGTATAGCAGCCAAATACTCTAAACGCACATTGATTCTCCAGACAGTCTCGTCCCTTCACCTGATGAAGGCTGCTTGTGTTGTGGCCGAAACGTCGTGAGAATTTTATTGTGTTATTTTATTTTATCAATTTATTATTTTATTCTCATTCTACGTGACTTTACCGAAAGAACCAAAGAAGATGAATCCTTGCAGTCACGAAAGCTTTAAATCGAAATTCATTGTATTTGCCAAGCCATGTAGACAAAGGCTGCTCTTGCGATTCATTCTCTTGCAATGTCATGGCGACAGGATGCCTAGCGAAATTTATAAACCAAGCAAAAAAAAAGTGTAGAATTGTTATTATTCATTACTCAGCCATGTGACACCGTGATTAAAGTTCTTTGATTTGTAATTGTAACGGTTGTGAGTAAAAACTGATAATCGGAAGTAGACTTTGATGTATCTGGAGTTGCGTAAAGTTTACCTTGGGTGTCCCATGGATAAACTAGCCCCTTATGGTCGGCACTTTCAATTTCCACCACTCACTGAATGTGACCATTCCATTGCTCATTTAGCTGGGGGGATTCTTTAATTGATACATTTATATTCATGCCATCTTCATCGCGCAAGGCTGTTATAAAGGCGCTGTGTGTCAAGCACAAATATAGTCTGCAATACCTTAACATTATGGGGCAATGGTGGATTAACCCAAATGGGTAATTTGCAAGCAATATTGCAAATGTAGGCCACGATGTCAGCACACACGCAAACCCACACTTTCTAGAATAACGTAATGGGATTTTTTAGCTCTACTCTGAAGCACGTGGCTTCATATTTTTTGGTGAACACACTCGTGGGATTAACCGTGGCGGTGGCTGGGCTCGAACCGCGGACTGCCTGCAACAAGCGGCAAAATGCGCCGCCGCACGGCCACGTGGAGTGCCGTGACTTTTAACCGCATGGTTGTGAGGGCACCACGGTGGCTGGGAGATGTTAAGTACCTCACCTGGTATACAGGAGGTCGTGAGTTCGACTCCGACCTTGACGCCTACTGCTGTATATTTTGGAGTTTGCATGTCTCTCTCCCAATGGATGAGGACGCTGCCACTGGGCAGTTGGAGGCAGTCGCCCTCCAGCAACGACGGAGGGCTCACAACAACGAGCGGAGCACCGGGCGGATAAAATACAGCAAGTTGGCACAGTAGGGGGTACAGCTGGTGCATCTACCGGTCATCTCAGTCAGCCAACCCATGGCACCTTGGTCTGTCCTGAGACCTGTCCACGAGCCTTCAACATTTCACTTGACCTCAAAGTGCACCTGGCCTGGCACAGGCGTCGTGGTGGCGTCACTTAGTGGCCAATGGCGGGTATTGATAATGGTGGCGCGGATTTTTCTCCGGTTCCTCCGGTTTTTTTCCTTCCACATTTAGAATCAACGTGCGTTTAGAGTATTTGGCTGCTATACAATTCCACGTGATTAGCCACTTCGTTGAGCTATCATATGTGGCCAGGTCACTTCTGGAAAACAGCTACATAAGATCAATGGGCATTACCTGGTAAAAAAAAAATAGGTGTAGATTAGACTGCAGTAAGGCAGCTGACATTGAGCTGAGCCACCTGCCCGGAGTGAGGCCCTTTACACAGCGGCAGCGATGTCAAGGAGTGTCTCGTGGCTTCTCCAATTGGACGTGAAATGGTTGTAATTGGAATCAATTGCGTCGCCTGCGCTGCGATGAGAAAAAAAAGTGCGTTCGTTTTCATGCATTGCCCATTCACTTTCGTCGAGGCTCGGGCACAGCTGTCAATTATCAAGCGCCAGGTCTACGAGCGGAGCGGCAAATTCAATCGCTTCGCGGGGAGGAGGAGGGAGAGGGTTTGTCCTGGCTGGCAGCAATCTCGTCTAACCCAAGCGGCCTTTTTTCTAATATAACGCCTTCCCATTTCAATGTGGCCACAAGCCAAGGATATTGCCCGATCAGCAGGGAATTGATAGTGTCCCCTCAAATTAAACAGGCAGCCCCTTTGAGTGGCCCCTGTTTAATAAGCCCTTAATATGCAATTGCGCCGATGTGAATTGTCCTTAAGAGTACATCGCTCATTAGAACGATGGCGAGTGTAATGTGAAGCTTTACGCTTGCTCCTCCAGATGCAATAACCATTTGTATCCTTGACTCTGAGGAAAAATAATGCCATTAAGTTGATATCTTTTGTGGTAAGTTTTTTCATCAGAAAGAAATTGTCCTATTGGGAAGCAGTGGTGCAGTGATTAGAGCACTGCACTCTGAACCCGGCGATACAAGTTCTGTTCCACGCCACTGCTAACGTCAGTGGCGATTGATGTCTAAACCAATCCTGTGTAGTTCCCTTCCCCAACTCGAACTCTCCAGCAGAGAGAAGTATGATAACACATTGTCCATGACGAACATACTGGGTTGCCACCTGCCCTGTTTTTTCCAGGATCTTCCTATTTTTCTTTATGTAGCTATCCTGGGAAAATCTGTCAGTATTCTCAGAACACTAAAAGTCTCGGATATTTTTCATCACTTGTGTAACATTCTCGTCTCCCCTTCACACGTCCCAGTTTTTTTTTGTTCCACTTCAAAGATGAAGTCCTGCATGGGCAGGCCTTCATCAGCAGTGTATTGACAAAGCGGCTGTAAATTATACGCACGTTGATGTATCCATTAAATTACCCTGTGTCATTGTTTTTGAATGGCCAGATGGGCTGGTGCTGATGTTGGCTAATTTGTTCCACGGCTTCTTGACACTTATGCCTCTCACTGCGCTTTTAATACAGAGCAGCTGAGCAGTCACAGCGTGGCCCCATTCGTTATGAGAGGGAAGACTGGGGAATTAGGCCATTGCTCAGACCTAACCTTTTCGCCCAGTGAACAACCCCCAAGACAGTAAATAAAGTATAAGATGCAGGGCTTAGCTTGGCAATACATATGGTTCGGACAAAGATCCGTGAAATTGACTTTTATTGCTAAGACGACCTGGTTCTTAAAAAAAACACTGTAGTAATAAGCGGACTGGCCGATGCTGTGGTAAGCGTGCCTGACTGTCATTCTGAAGGTTACAGAGTTATAGCCTGCTCTGGGGTTATCATCCTTCTGATGATTACATAATACATGCATCCCTCGAAATACGGAACAGCTACGTTCCTACTAATAGGGTTCGAATATCGAACCCTATCTTCACGTTGGCATTTTATAATGAGAGATGCATTCCTATGGAAAAAAACCAGACCAAAGATTAAGTAAAATCTCACTTAAGAATACATCAAACCTTGTTTTAAGCACATATTTTACTGGAATCGATGGAGCAGTATGAAATGCACAGTGGGATAACATTTCCACCCCCTCCCACCATCCCAAAAAAAAATCTGTAATTGCGAATTGAATGTTAAACGTGAAATTCATTATCTAACTTAAAAGTTACGTGAGAGAGAAATTATGTATATTGAGTTGCTGTATAAGGAGTGATGACTATCATATCACATTTATAGGCATGGTTGTCCCATGTCTGGACTTGCTCTCCTGTAGGAATGTGAAATATCCACCATTGGCTCAGTGTTATAAACAAGAGATGAGAACTGTCAAATGTTTATTTTATTTGAATGCCACTCTATTTTGTTTTTACTTGGTATTATCCATATTTAAAATAGCCCAGTAGATGAGTATGAGTACGGGGAACTTCATATTTGTACTACAGTACTTGCCATGAGAGTTGGACTATTCGATTTATTAAGTACTGTAATCGATTACTCTATGGTTTATTTGTTCGATTGCTCGACTAATCCCCAGATAATAGTTGGGGGAAAAAAGTATTGCCCATCTTCGTCAGACATCTGCCACTGGACGAGAGGTTGACGTTGGACCTTGACCAATCGACCACGAAACGAACGTAATCGTTTTCAGCGTTTCAGTCGATGACTCGGCTCAAATCGGCCCCTACCCATCGTCTAACCGTTCGCTTGTTGTTGTTTTTTTGTTATCTCGCTCGTTTCGCGTGCGTGCGTGCGTGCGCGCGAACGCCGGGAACGCGGGAGCAGATCCCGCAGATCAGCTACGCGTCGGCGTCGCCGGAGCTGAGCGACTCGACGCGCTACGACTTCTTCTCGCGCGTCGTGCCGGCCGACACGGCCCAGGCGCGGGCGCTGCTCGACGTGGCCCGCTCCCTGCGCTGGAGCTTCGTCTCGACCCTCGCCTCCGAGGGCAGCTACGGCGAGAGCTCCGCTGAAGCCTTCGTCCAAGCCGCCAAGGAGAACGGTACGCTCGCCGCCGCCCGGCGCTCGCCGCAGCAGCCCGGCGCTCGCCGCAGCAGCCCGGCGCTCGCCGCAGCAGCCCGGCGCTCGCCGCAGCAGCCCGGCGCTCGCCGCAGCAGCCCGGCGCTCGCCGCAGCAGCCCGGCGCTCGCCGCAGCAGCCCGGCGCTCGCCGCAGCAGCCCGGCGCTCGCCGCAGCAGCCCGGCGCTCGCCGCAGCAGCCCGGCGCTCGCCGCAGCAGCCCGGCGCTCGCCGCAGCAGCCCGGCGCTCGCCGCAGCAGCCCGGCGCTCGCCGCAGCAGCCCGGCGCTCGCCGCAGCAGCCCGGCGCTCGCCGCAGCAGCCCGGCGCTCGCCGCAGCAGCCCGGCGCTCGCCGCAGCAGCCCGGCGCTCGCCGCAGCAGCCCGGCGCTCGCCGCAGCAGCCCGGCGCTCGCCGCAGCAGCCCGGCGCTCGCCGCAGCAGCCCGGCGCTCGCCGCAGCAGCCCGGCGCTCGCCGCAGCAGCCCGGCGCTCGCCGCAGCAGCCCGGCGCTCGCCGCAGCAGCCCGGCGCTCGCCGCAGCAGCCCGGCGCTCGCCGCAGCAGCCCGGCGCTCGCCGCAGCAGCCCGGCGCTCGCCGCAGCAGCCCGGCGCTCGCCGCAGCAGCCCGGCGCTCGCCGCAGCAGCCCGGCGCTCGCCGCAGCAGCCCGGCGCTCGCCGCAGCAGCCCGGCGCTCGCCGCAGCAGCCCGGCGCTCGCCGCAGCAGCCCGGCGCTCGCCGCAGCAGCCCGGCGCTCGCCGCAGCAGCCCGGCGCTCGCCGCAGCAGCCCGGCGCTCGCCGCAGCAGCCCGGCGCTCGCCGCAGCAGCCCGGCGCTCGCCGCCGCCTGATGCTTGCGCTGCCGCCACCTTTGTTTGTCCGTTGTGGCAACCTCGAGCCCATGGTGGCGAGGCGTTAACTCCCTCGCCTGCCATAAGAGAGCTTGTCGGGTTATATCGCGTACATATAAATGTGCCGTTAAACCCGCCACCGCCCGACAAAGCCAATTGGTGAGGTTTGTCACCTGAACCAAATGTGTCAATCCGTTACTAGTTCAGCACACCGCTGTGTTGGAGTGTAAACCCATAACGTTTGCAATTTGTGTACGACGTTTCGCCAGTAATTACAGCTAGCATCATCAAGTGGACAGCAAGAGTTGTGGAGAAATCCTCCTCCCTCGCCTGGATTGCAGGAGGTCGAGGGTTCAATCCCGGCTCTCAAGTTTGTATATTTGGAGTTCGTGTGTTCTCCGTGTGGTTGCGTGGATTTTTATCTGGGTCCTCCGGGTTTTACCTCCATTGTCAATGAAATGAGTATAGCTTTGCGGAAAGTCAACAATCACTCTCTTATAGATGCACTTTTCCCCTAAAATATGCAGGTGGAATTCCAACCACAAGCTCAGGGCTACAAGTAGGGGATGAGAACCATTCCATTGAGTTGGACTTAATAACGAACTTTAGTCAAATGTAAGTGTGTCAATCTAGCTATTGATAATTGATCAAGCTAGTCACAGGTTAAATACACCCACAGGCCAAAGCGACGAGGTTAACCTGCTCTGGTTGTTTTTTTTTGGTCTCCAAATGAGCCTCAGCTGATTGTATAGCCACACGTTATTTCCATATATGATCAGTGTGCGCCTGCTGTGTTTACATAATTTAATCACTCTGCTGTGTCTATCAAGAGGGTTAAAGTTGAGCCGTGCATCTGCTCTTCCCGTGCATTTTTGTCCTTCCCTTGAGTGAATGAAACAATTAATTCATTAATTCCATAATCAACCATATCCTTGTAATTACATGCTTCCCACCCAGTCCACATGATGATGGGACTGTAGATGATAATGATATTGATGTCACACAGAATGTTGCATGCTACGGATGAGTTACAGATAAAACAAAAAATGGATATCGTATATTTGAATTTGTAGGTTAAATTTTGGATTCATAAACGTTGAAAAGCTTTCATTGCTTATGCATTAGTTTAATTAATGTCAAGACTTTAATAACAAACATTAACAAATTGATATTTTTCATGTAAGATGCCATCAGTAAAAAAAATGTAAGTTTCGTGCAAAACATTTTTGATAATTAAAAAATGAAACTATATATATTTTTACCAGGTAAAAACCATTGAGCTATGTAGCTCTTTTTTTCAGAAGTGACCTCACCATTAATGACCAAGTGGTTTATCACGTGGAAATTTATAGCAAGCAAATACACACGTTTCTAAACTTATCACAAAATGACATCACATATCGTAAAAACTACATAATGTGACGGCACTCTTTGTGGACAACCACAGCAGTGATGCCATGGAAGTGACATAACCTCCTCTTGTGGATCAACCTTAAACTATTTTATCCGGATTATCCACAATTCCGTATCTAGGCGCGAATTTCCAAGTGTAATGTTACTCTGAAATACATTCCTCCTTCGTGCATATGTTTTTTGTTCTTAATTCCATTGAGAAAACTACCCCATATAAAGACAAATGTATGAAATCTAGCAGAGTTATGGAAATTTGGTGCCCAAAGTAATTCGTTCATTTTAATCTCGTTCTGCGTGTCATAAATGCTGATAAATTACTCTTGCAGGTAATGGCACGTCACATTTAAGCCCGCTGTTACAACACCTCCACAATTCTTTGCGAGGATTAAATAATCACTCAGCCTTATATTGTCTTCATTTATACATATTTATACTCTTTGGTTCTTTCGGCAAAGTCACGTAGGTATAAAATAAAATAAATCATGACGTTTCGATCGCAACATAAGCGGTCGTCCTCAGGTGGAAAAAAAATATAATCCAGCAGTAGAACTGCTGAACGAAAGAACCAAAGAGTATGGATTTCTGCAGTCATGAAAGCTTCAAATCAAGATTATACATATTTAGTTTGTTTAATTTTCGATTTAAAGCTTTCGTGACTGCAGGGATTCATATTCTTAGTTCTTTCGGTAAAGTCACGTTGAAGGGAAACAATAAATTAACAAAATATATATAAAAAAACAATTCTCACGACGTTTCGACCATAAAACAAACGGTCATCATCGTTGGTTTTCACACCTGATGATGACCGTTTGTGTTATGGTCGAAACGTCGTGAGAATTTTTATTGTTTTATATATATTTTATTAATTTATTGTTTCCCTTCAACGTGACTTTACCGAAAGAACTAATAATAAGATTATACATATTTAGTTTGTTTAATTTTTGATTTAAAGCTTTCGTGACTGCAGGGATTCATCTTCGGGGTTCTTTCGGTAAAGTCACGTAGAATGGAGCTAAAATAATAAAAGTATTATTTTATCTCCATTATTTTTTTATTATTTTATCTCCATTCTACGTGACTTTACCGAAAGAACCCAGAAGATGATAGTTTGTTTAATATACAGCATAACATGTTGGTGGGAGTGGTGGCTAATCGGTCACCACACCGCTGCTATGAACCTGGCAGACTGAATTAATTTCTCGGTCATTGTTAACATCAGAGGAGAGTGATATCTGAACAAGTTCTACCCTCCCTACACCAACCTGCCACAGACCAGCATGGTGAAGTGTGGTCAAACAACCCCTTGCATAGCATATGGAGGCCTTCAGCAGTGGATTGGCAAATGGTTGTACATTACGATTATCATTGACATGTTTTAATGATCATGGGTGATTATTCATGTCTTTGTGAGGGTGTGAACGTGTAAATAATATTTACCCTAATCTTACAGCCAGTCTTCCAGAGCTATTTAGAATCACAACCACCCTACGGTGTTCAAAATGCTGCTGCTATTCTTGTTCGGAAAAAAAACGTAGAATCTGTCAACGCATTGTAAACCAGGTCACATGTGCAGCAATCGAGCATTATAGCATTGCTTTGGCTGCAGAGCCCCACTTAATTTACCAAACTATTAAATGATACACTTTACAAAGTGTTAATTATGCTCAGTCTCAATTAATAACACTTTTAATGAGACTATAATGTTGCAGTATCTAGTTAATTACACTGATAATTACCATTAGATGTTGGAAATAACCCTATATGGTAATTCGTATAGTGCAAAAAAGCTAAATATGCTCATTATTAATATTTCAAGAATGTATTCCACAGCTGATGTAAAATGTCAACATGCGCATGCACAGCAGAGACTTATTTGGTCCACAGTTCGTCGTGTTTCCGGGTGTCCCTGTGGATACTTATTAATACGCTCTGCCAATGAAGTCTGACGTGTGTTTTGCCCTTGATCAAGTCACCTGGAATGTGCCTGATCTTGTCAGATATCGGAAGCTAAACAGTTTTGAGCCTAGATCCTGCTTGGGTGGGTTTTCGCCACACACACACAGCTTATCAAAGCACTTTGCGAGGCTACGTGGTGGGCAGGAGAGGGCATTGGAGCACAATCCATGGTTGTATTGTACATCTATGCTCCACGCCACAGCAACCTACACTGACCAGTATGGTGAAGTATGGTCAAATAAACCCCACCGCCCGCATGGCATGGGGAGGCTCTCATCCAGTACTAGACTGAGAGAAAAAAAAGGCCTGTACATGCATGACATGTACATACTATAATACATGTATGTTACGGGCCTCCTCTAAGTTTACTCAGCCTAAAGTGACCACTTGACTCTATGTTGTCAGCATCGGCAGTCCTGGCCAGCCCAGCCTCACGCGCTCCACGCCAGTCTTAATAATTGCTCAACCTACAGCGCTTCCTAACTCTGTCACGCTAAACAGGGAGCCCGTCTCTTGGCATGCGTGTAAGATATATTAGCATATGCTTACATGTGTGTGTGTGTGTCTTACAGGTAACGACAGGCAGTAAATGTACTTCTTTAGAACAAGACACAATTTAGTGTGATACACTTAGAAGCCAGTGGCCCGCTACGGATTTAATATCACCCCTCACACTGCTCCGCCAACACTGCCAGAGTGCATACGCGTGCAAATCACACACTGATTGCCGTGCGATACCCTCAAATTCCACTCCACCAGGTACACGGGGCAGTT